GTCTAACGTGATGAAGGACTGGTAGTATAATTTTCCCACAATGATATGAGTTGAGCTGACGTTTCCATTGGATTTCACATGGCCTTGCTTTCACAAAAGTGAAAGGCTATGTGAAATTCATACCAATGTGGGAAAATTCTACTACCAGTCCTTCATCATCTCAGAGGAAATAGGGTGAATACATCTGCTTATACTGATTTACTGGTAGTCTGGAAACTCTACTCTCATACGAAAATAAATTAAATTAGTCTTGTCTTTCGGTACAAATCGACAACCTTCAAACTCACAAACCCACAACCGGTTGGTTCCCCTCTTTTTACGCTATCCTCTCTGCTACACTCTACTCCAATCCACTCCATTCTGTTCCATTCCTGACCCATCCCACTTTACTATCTCTCGCCAGTTCACTCCAAACTTGACTTAACTCCACTATACTTCATTCCACTCCACGCTAACCCGCTCATTTTTGCTCTACTTAACTTCATCCCACCTTAGTCCACTATCCTCTACTCGAGTTCACATGAAGCAATCATGTAAACCCACTCTCCACCCGTCCTCAGCTAACACCTCACCAGCTACGTTTCATGACTCCCTCTTCATCCGCTTCTACACTCACACTCAACCTCTACTACCCTTCTGTCTACTCAGCCTCACTTCGTTAAAAACTCACACTTGGCTTGCATGAAAACTTGGCGTATGAACCTGTCATTTTACTTTTGGCATGCTATTGGATACGGTTCCGTTTTATGTGAAGAATTTCATTTCGTATGAAAGTCTTTACACTAATCTTATCTGAGACGACTCTTCGAAACCCGAATTTTCTTCTGATACCCAATGAATCCACTTTGCCTGATGCCGGTTGCAGAGGAGTCAGGATGCGCTCGTTTCGATAACCAACTGGATAAAGGACCGACGACAAAAGAGTCCTCCACTTTCACTCCTCCATCCTCAGCTTAGCCGATGGTTGCAGCCTCTTTCGGTGGTCAGCGATTCCATTCCAAAGGCCAGAAATGTCAACCACTGCGAGTCGGCTCCATTCCGAGAACGCGGACTTATGCGGGGCTCTCAGAGAAATGCGAGGGTTGAGCACAAGAAAAGGACGTCCTCTTCAAGTGTCCTCTTCTCTCGGGTCTGGGAGCAGAGCCTACAAGTGGATGAGGCCACGTCTGACCTCTTTCCTCTCGACTGGCTATGACACCTTCTGCCGAATTAAACTGTTGGCCCATTCCATTTTACTCTCATGCTCGAAGCATAGCCGGGCCTACTTGGTCCATCGGCGCCTGTTGTGACGACACCACATCGCCTCCTCGCCCTGACAACAGCAAGTCTCTCCGCTACCGTCTGAAACCTATCCTGCCAGTTCCGCCCCACTCGGATCGCGGCAATTTGCAAATTCGCCCATCGGACGCTTCTGCTCCATTCATCAGACTGTTGGAGTGTGTCTGTCTGTATGTATCCACATAAATATATATATTTTTATGCTAATAAAACCAATGTTGGTACAGCACAGACGCGAGAGTGACTGCCCAACCGAAGAATTGGAAGTAGACAATATTGTTCCCACACCATCCCGCACATACAGAAATACACACATAAATATTT